TATCTATCTATCTATCTATCTATCTATCTATCTATCTATCTATCTATCTATCTATCTATCTATCAATCTCTTCCTTCCCTGTTTTACATTGCTTTGAGAAACCTTTTTCTTGCTATGAACCATGGAATATAGTTGGAATGCACCAGTGCTAGGGCATGTCAAATTTTCCAACTTTCTATTTCCAAACATTAGGGTTGCTCAAAAGTTGTGACATGCCTTGGGGATTGTAAAGATATTTTGCTTCCTTTAATATAATTTAGATGTGTTTGGTGAGTAACTACATAAATATCATGACTTTTTAACATTTCATTTCTTTCACCCCACAAGGATAATCTAGTTTAACCCTCCTCAATGTGTGGGAAAACCAGTTAAAATATGGAAATTGTATATTAGTGGATGAAATAAGTAAATAAATAATAACGGTAGCGGTAGCACAGTAGTAGTAGATTCCTAGAAAGTAATAAAGGAAGAATATCAGCAACGTCATCTTTTTGGGATGAAATTCACTTTGTCATGGAAATCCGTGTAAAAAATAAAGGTAAGCAGAGAGAGCAAATTCTATTATGTTGAATATAATTGCAGTGAGTTCTCCACATGGATGGTTGTTGACTAAGAACCTTAGATTACACTTAAATAACAACCAAAGGCCTAGGAGAGATTCTGTAGCTTCAGCTCTTGGAGTTTCTTGTCCTCCTGATTAATCCATGCCAACTATTTTTGCCAACTATAATAGAATATCCTGCAGCATCACATACACAGTTTCTAAGCAGTAACTCTGTCAAGAGGATGGCTTGATTTGAATCTGCCAGATGCCAGAAGCCTTCAGGTCTTTTTCTGATGGTGCCAAAACTGAAGAGTTGTTTGCTTTGACAGCTTGATTTAATTTCAGGGAAATCTTCCCCGCAAATCTTTCCTCTAGGGCAATTTGTATTCTCTCAGATTTCTTCCAAGCTGGCAGTACCATTTGCCAAACTGTATCCCGTAAAAGTACAGTATCAGATAATATTGGTTAGTCTGAAAATCAGTTTGGTGTAGCAATTGAAATACAGGACTGGAAACCGAAGGTAAGAGGCCATGAGTCCTAGTCCTCCCTTTTGCATGGAAGCCAGCTGGATGGCTTGGACTGGTCACAGGGTTATTGTTGTGGGTAAAATAGGAGGAGGGTGCATTTTCTTTTGATTGGGAGCAGTCTAGAGTTTGTTATACAATGGCAGTTATATAAATGTTTTAAATAAATTAATTACTCATGTAACCCATTTTGCGTAGTACAAAATAAAAGGAGGATATACTGGAAATCTACCCTAAATTAGTCAGTCTCTTTTGGGAGTTCAGGCAAAGAATTGTAACCAAAATCTTAGTGAAAATGTGGCATTAGAACACTGTCTTTATTTTTGCTGGGAACATCATGTCTAGCCAAGATGCCCACTTTGATAACAGCAAGTCAAATCTAACAGCAACAAAATGTGTTTATTGGACTTTTGTACTATTCCTTAACTCCAGAATCAAACTTTACAGTAAACAGTCTTTGTAGTGAATGCATTTGCAAAGTACACAGCTTTTAGTTAGACCTTAGCCCTCAAATCCTTCCCTGTCACTTCTTTTTTTAACCATTTCAAGAAGTGACTCTAACGTTAGCTAGCAAATATTCCTGGACATAGGCAGGTACCATTCCAATGCAGATTAACTGGCCATGGTTTGCTAACCTGTATAACCATCCTGCTCATCAGGATGTTATTTGGTCTTGTGATGTTTTTGGCTAGTTCTCCACTGACTGACTCCCTGCCTTCTGTTCAGTGCTTCTTTATTTCCCAAAAGTCCTCTTCCCTTCTAGGGGAATGTGATAGCTCAGTGTATGTAATTTGTATGCAAAACATCTTCAGGTTCAGGCATCTCTGAAACATTACCCTAGACGGGAATCCTGGTCTCCAGCCTCTTCCTTAATCATTCTTTGCCAAATGGTCAATCATCTAGTTAAATGTAAATCTTGTGGTTTAAAGAATGGTTCATTCAGTTAGATTGGTGGAAATCAGATAATGAAAAAGAAGTAGGTGGTGTTTAACTCAGATTTCTCCCAAGCCTTGGGCTAGGATGAGGGTGGAGCCTCTTGGATTGGTTATTGTCTGCTTGTCTTTTTGAGTTTTGATTCTAGTTAGCTGTCTCATTTTGTTTTTCTTTAATCTTTATTTGTAAGCTAGCCAGAATTGCTATGTAGTTGGATGGCCTTGAAATTGAAACACTAAATAAAATAAATAAACTTTGCCTATTTTCTACTTTTACCACAAATTCCAGTTTTATATCTCACTGCCCACATGCAGTCCTTGGTATAATCCTCAAGACTTATTTTATGCCCCTTGTCAAGGGAAGTCCTGATTGCATTAGATGGGGTTCTAGTATATCCACTATAAGATATACTATATTTGTCTTGGACTTTAATTCTTTCTTGCCTCCACTTTTCATCTTTAGAAATCCACCAAGCTGTATGCTTATCTAAGTAACCCAACCTTCATCCCACTCTTACCTATGCCACTTACATGTTCTTAGTTTTTAATCTTTATACCCCAACAAGCATTGAAGACAACCAAAGCTGCAAGATGCAAATTTCCTGAAAGGAAAGAGTAACTGGATTGCTGACATCATTGATGTCACAATACTAGCTCCAACAAGCAATCACAATGCCATGTTAGCTGTAGGAGAATACCACATTGATTTACATCAGGGGAGCTTCCAGAAGTGTGAGCATGGAACAACAGTTGGGTTATTATTTTGTCTGTTTCTCTTTAGATGACCAAACTGCTTATACTGCTTGGGAATCTTATATTCAATTAGAGAACTACGGTAACACAAAGAAGGAGGTGACTTGCCCATTGCAGTATACCACCATCTAGGAAGAAGAAGAGGTTATTAATACTGGGTTACATATATACCATGATGTCAAATGATCGGATGGAAAATCCATCAAGGCCAGGATCAGAGGTGTGCAAAACCTTTCAAGGCTGTAATCTGGGAGGGGGGTATGATCTGGAAATAACTGTGGTCAGAATATGACTATGGCCATGTCTCAAAACCAACTTCCCATGCACTTGTAGATAAAACTACTTGTCATTATGTCACACATAATATATACATATTATAGGATGTATAATGGTGAAGGAGCCATGGTGAAGCAGTGGTTAGAATGCAGTATGGCAGGCTAACTCTGCCCAGAGCCTAGTTCATTTCTGACCAAGTCAAGGTTGACTCAGCCTTCTATCCTTCCGAGGTCAGTAAAATAAGGACCCACATTGTTGGGGGCAATATGCTGATATTTGTAAACCACTCAGAGAGTGCTATAAAGCATTATGGAACAGTGTATAAGTCTCAGTGACATTGCTACTGCTATTACTGCCTTTAGCTGGCCAAAATGTTGATTGAAGAACAACCTTTGGGGCTTTATAGACCCAGAGATATAAAATTTTGGAAGCATGATATAGAGTAGGTCCTCTTACAAGAAAATTGCCTTCATGAATATGACCTATCTCAAAACATCCATTCAATGGAAGACCAACTATAAGGTTACTTTTTAAAATACTCAACTCACCCACTCAACCCCTGCTCTCTTTGTCTTTTTTATTTCTAGGTTGGCTGTAACCTCCAAATCTTTTAATTTTTTTAAAAAAAATATTGTGGTCTCCAGAACAATAATTGGGGCTGAAAATTCTGCTGAGTCAGCTTCTCATTTTCTGAAGTGTTGACACTGATCTAGCATTCAGCATGGATGTTTATCTGAGTCCTGAGCTAGTACTTGAGAAGGTGACACCCGGCAGCCTTTTATTATGTGTTGCTCTCTAAAGGAGTTGGCTGGAAAATTACAGAACTCTGTCCAATTTATCTGGAAGAGACCAGACTGGCAAGGGCTGATTGAGGTCCAGTAATGTTTTGGAATTAACTTTGGAAATACTGTGACAACTGAAGTTTCTAAATGGTCTTTAACAGTACTCCATAAAGAGTATGCTATAAAATATTTGTGGGGTTTTTGTTTGTTTGTTATTTTGTTATTTGCTCCCTTAGCAAGTAATGGAATTGAGATAAAAGGGAAATAAAAAAATCTGCTTGAAGACAAGAGGCTTGGAAAAATCTAACATCACTTTAAGAGTGTGCCAGTAGTAATCTTTTCTACCCATAGATCCCAGAAAGGGAAAGACTTTCTTTCTGTTTTATAAGAGGCACTTGATTCTGGAATAATCAAGACTGAAGGTAGCCCAATGTGTACATTAGATGGCCATAAGATACCACATTTTGTAGTTAAGCTTCTCGTCTCCAGGGCAATAAAGAAAATGGCCCTTATTCATTTGGATGGCCTGTAAACTCTGCATTGTGCAGCCTGAGCGTTGAGCAGCTGCTTTGAGCACAGCTTCATCACAGCAGCTCTATGGCAACCCTGTTTACTGACAGGAACAAGCAGCTCTTTCTCTAAAGCACACACCTCAGTCCTTGCCTCTGGAGCAGAAAAGGCAGGAAGACACATATAGTGCTGGCTGTACATTAGTAAGCCTGACTAATGGCTCTTTTCTTAAAGGATATCCTGCAGCCTTCTCAGAAGGACACCTTCAACCTGCTGACACAGGTGCAATCGCATGTGGATGATCCCTTTAAGAGCACAATCAAAGGTAAGCCTGACTTCCGTATTTGAAGGCAGGGCTACTGAAGTACAATTGAATTAATCCATTTTCTGGGTTAGCCTAATCCACTGAGCCCAAACCTAATAAATTGGGTTGTGTTTCCACAATCAAGCATGCTATATGAAGCAGATCTTTAAATGAACTGGGGTAAATGTACTTGCCTTACACAACCAATCGCCACCATTTAACTCCACCCTTACATCTCAGAGGGGGCAGCATTTATGGGAAAGTAAGCACTGCATCTTGACAGTGATTTTGGTGTTTTCTCCTTTATTTTCTCTCACACATGTACACACCTTGGAACTATTTTCTTACGCTATCTGTTGAATTTGCATAAAGGTCTGCTGTGTATCATTAGGTGTCCATGGATATTTTAGTGGTTTCGGAAAAGGAAATAAATTTAACTGGGCATGACAGCCATTTCTAATGTATTTCATACTGAAATGACAAAAGAATAGCAGACAATTGAGGGGCAGATGGGCAAAAGCATAATTTCACCTTTAAAAATTGAAGAATGAATGGGCTGGGTAGGATGTCCTGGCTCTCCCCTAAACTTGAGAGCACCTTCTTGATCCTTGATTGAAGTGGATTTGGATCTGACGATGAAAACAATCGACCAGTTGAAATGGCTTAGGGAAGTTGTAGATGCTCCATTGCTGGAGACTTTTGAGAAGAGACTGGACAATCATTTGTCTGAAGTGGTTCATGTCCTGCTGCTAGAGCAAGGCGTTGGGCTATAAGACTTCCAAGGTCCCTTCCAACTCTGATGACACTCTATGTCCGTGATGGTGAACCTATGGCACTCGTGACATGTGTGCGCATGCCAGCTGATTTTTGGCCTTCTGGAGGACCGGGCTGGGGAAGGCCTTTTTCACCCTCCCCAGGCTTCAGGAAAGCCTCCAGAGCCAGGGGAGGGCAAAAAATGGGCCTACCGGAAGTATTTCCAGAGGAAATACCAAGCTCAGCTTGGAGGTGAGTAATTAGGCACACGTGGGGAGTAGTGTGGTATGTGTGCACGCATGTGCATCTGGGGTCATGCTTTGCATTATGGTGCCAGCATGCATACACACAATTGCGAGCGTGCCCTTGCATTTTTGGCACCCAACAACAAAAAGATTAGCCATCACTGCTCTATGTTCTAACATTTCTAATTTCCATTTAACTTCTCTTTTATTATAAAGCAGTGATGGGTTGCTAATTAGTTTACTACCAGTTTGCTCATCCATGCACTCACTCGCACAACACTTTTGCACATGAGCAGAAGCATCTGAGTGGGTGGGCAGAGCCTCCCGCCACTGCAACTACCAGTTTGGCCGAAATGGGCTGAGCCAGCAGCAACCCACCTCTGTTATAAAAACACATTCCTCAGAATGCATATGTGTATTCGTATTCTGCTTTTCCTGCCACAACCTCACAAATCAAACTTTGCTATAAATAGCTTGAAGACAAATGGAAAATTACTGAAGTTGTATCTGTAAAAAAAAAAAGAAACCCCCAAAATTTGTGGATTCTAAAGTTCCTGTACACTTGGGCTGGAAGGTCATCTTGAATGCTAGGGCTGAGGATCCAGTATTGGAACCCCTCATGGTAGAATAAATGCTGTGGCCCTACTGCCCATCCCTGCTAAACTAACTTCTATTTATTTCTCATCTTTTAATAGAACAAAACGTATTTTTGGATTGTTGACCTGTTTATCACTGTTGCGTGTGGTATTATTGATAACACTTGGACAGTTATAGATCTCAAAATTGCCAGTTGTCATCCACCATCATCAAGCATACAGTGTGATATGTATTTGATCTTGATCTGTGTTTGTCGTATACTCTGAGGAATAAAACAGAATATATTTCTAATTATGTAAACTGAGTTGATTGACAAAAAGCCTTTCAAAGCTTCCACCATTTTCAGTTCTCAGCCACTCAAAAGCAATGTGAAGCTGATGAACAAATCTTCTGATCTTAAAATGCCAAGAATACCATTGTTGTGAGTGACATAAAGGTTTCTGTCGACAAGTTCTCAGGGCTTTAAGCCTTTGAAATTCTGAGATGAACTACAGCTGAACTAGAAATAAATGGACTGATTTATAAATGTATAAATAAATTACTGAGAAGGTGCCATGGGATCACACATGATTTGGGAGCAGTGGAAGGAACCTATGTGAAAGTGCCACAATAGACTGGATAATATTCATCAGAGTTCAGTCACTTAAGCTGTATGGATAAAACATTATTGAAAGGGGATGATGAATAGGCATTGATTGATTGACTGATTGATTGAAAGAGGAACATGGAAAATTAATTCTCAGTACCAGTCTACAGCCATAAAACCCAGGAGATTAGGCTTTTCTTGTTAATTGCAAAGTCATGTCCAACCCATTGCGACCCCATGGACAACTTTCCTCCAGGCCTTCCTGTCCTCTACCATCCTCTGGAGTCCATTTAAGCCAATGCCGACTGCTTCAATGACTCCATCCAGCCACCTCATTCTCTGTCATGCTCTTCTCCTTTTGCCCTCAATCTTTCCCAGCATTAGGCTCTTCTCCAGTGCGTCCTTCCTTCTCATTAGGTGTCCAAAGTATTTGAGTTTCATCTTCAGGATCTGGCCTTCTAAAGAGCTCTGGTTTGATCACCTTACAGTCCAAGCGACTTGCAGGAGTCTTCTCCAGCCCCATAGTTCAAAGGCCTCAAGTCTTTGGTGCTCAGCCTTTCTTATGGTCCAACATTCACAGCCATCCATTGCAACTGGGAAAATCATATCTTTCAGTATATGCACTTTTGTTGGCAGGGTGATGTCTATGCTTTTTAGTATGCTGTCTAGATGTGTCATAGCTTTCCTCCCCAGGAGCAAGCATCTTTTAATTTCTTGGCTGCATTCCCTATCTGGGGTGATCTTGGAGCCCAGGAAAATAAAATCTGTCACTACTTCCATTTCTTCCTGATCTATTTGCCAGGAATTGAGAGGGCTGGATGCCATGATGTCATGATCTTAGTTTTTAAATTAGGCTTTTAGATTAGGCTTTAGGAACTTGCAAAAGAGAGGAGTTATCAAAAGAATATTTTGAATAAGAAGGGCCTTTGAGTAATGGAATTTATTTGAATGAAATCAGTGTTAATAGGCAAAGGAAAAAATATGAAAAATCTTCAAAGCCAGGAAAAACAAATCTGATTAGAAACATTAATTCTGAGTGGACTTTCTCAGGCTGCAGCCTTTCAAAAATCATTTCTGCTAGCTGGCATACTGTTAGGTAAGCGTTGTGAGAGTGGTGTTGGAGAACACACAAACCAGCATACAGAGACACTGCAGTTTAAATAGGCTTTTACTTTTGTGGAAATAGAGGTATCAGAGTCCATCAAACAGTCCAAGTCATACACGGTTAAGACAGTCAGTCATCAACATCTTTCAGTTAAGGGATAATCCAAATAACGTAGCCCATAATCATACAAACAGTCCGGTACACAAAGTTTGCTAGCAGTTACAAAACTTGCAATAGCTCACGCTGATCACTATACGGCACTTCTAACAGCCAGCTTCCAAACACTCAGATCAGATCAGCATCTAACAGTGATTCTGGCTCCATTTTATCGCTGATTGAGGAAACAGCAACCAATCACATTTACAACATGATTTAAAGAAACAGGTACAGCATTGTTACATGATTTATATATTGCCAACCAAACCGTTAGATTATATTCCTAACACATACTGTATAGCAGGGGTGTCTAGAGAAGAGGGTCCTTACTGTATTGTGTTTCTGTCTTCCTTCTCAGCCTTAGGGGCATGAGAAGTTACTTCCCTTGTCTGCCAAGGCTGTGAGGAATTAGAAGGAGTGGGGGAAAATAACCTTTTAAAGGAGGTTAGGAATAGCTCCAGAAGAGGTGTTTATCATGCAATGGTCCTGACTCATGCACAGGGGAATTTTAGAAAAGGCAGAATGGATGCTTTTAAGTTGGTAACCATTCTTGGTATTCCCACTGATCCTTTAATAGTTTCCTTTCTCCAATTAAAACAAGATCTACTAAAGAGGAAAAGAACTGTTTCAAGTAATCTATGTAGTTAATTCATTTTTAATTTTAGCAAAAACAAAGAAAAAGGGCCATGAAAATACATTAAATATGACCCCTTTTAAGTAAACCATTTCCAGAAAAAAAATCATTTTAAAACCCACAAATGGCAATAACCCATAGAAATATTTAGAAGTCAATGGGAACAGGACTTTAGATATTTGCTTAAAAGGAGGTCCAGATAAGACTAGCTGCCTGTCTCCTGGGAGAGATTCCACAGCGTGGGGGTCACCTAACCTATGAGTTTATTTTAAGCTAAGATCTCAGGCATGATTTGTTAAACAGCTTATAGTTATTTGTTTTGCACGCAACACTAAGCCAGAATGGGTTTGTGTATATCTCTTGCTAAACCAGAAACAAAGCATAAAATGAACCAGGTCCATGCCATGGAATGGATAGCACAGATATGTCAACTTTGGTTAGCAAAAGAAGATGACAAAGTATTTTAGGACAAGGGATGCATCAGATGCGTTACCACATGGCACATTCTTATGAATGCAGTTCTGTTTCTTCTCATAGATGGGTGCTCATGCAAGTTTGAATGAATGAATGTGTCAGCAACTTAGAGTACTTCTACAAGAAACATGAATGGTGGCATGGAGGGTTAATGTTGGAGGGCCTTTGATTTTATTAGAAATGTGTAGAGAAAAATCAAAGGTTTTGGAAAGTCTAGGATTCCAAATCAGTATCCTGATGGTGATGTCAGCTTGTCTTCTTTCATTGACACTAGGAGCAGGAAGTTGTAGCCCTCAGGGCACATACAGCTTTGTTTTGGAATGTATGGAACTCTCTCCTATCATCAGTGGTGGTATTCAGCTGGTTCAGACTGGTTTGGGTGGACCGGTAGTGATGACCTGCAGGTGGGCCCACCCCCACCCACCCTTCTGGGCTCTATGCCATCCTGTTTAGCCATGTTTTCTAAGCCAC